TAAGATAATTGTTTAGGGTAGAGGAAAAAAAAACATACGTGGTCCAATCCCATAGTGACACGTGGCCCAATGGAAGGGCGACACGTGTCCCTATAAAAAGTAGACATATGGCAACCCTAAGAGCACCTTAATGAGAGAAAGGCCTCCTTACATCAAGAGGCCCAAATCCCGAGAAAGCCGCAAAACGACACCCCCAAAGGACACGTGTCCTTATCTGATTGCGCCGCCAATTAGAGCCTAGCTTTTTAGGGCACTAACCCTAAAGGGGCACACTTTCCCACCCCTATAAATACCCCAATCATTTATGATGGGAGGGGTGGATTAAAACATCATTCAAGAGAAGTAAATAGCTCGAACTTCTCTCTACTTTCTCTCTCTACATCACTTAGTTTTTGGTCACTAACTTGATCGTCGAAGGCAAATATTCCGTCAACCAGGATATTCGTTGTTTTGCAGGTGTCTGAGTCCATCCGGCCATGTTCAAGACCTGTATCCCGAGGGATTCCAAAAAACCCCGAAACATTTGCCGCCGTCTGTGGGGATACACGTCTGAAATTGTTAAAGATGGCCAGACACCTGGTCTTGGTGAGGCCAAACATGTAGAGAATATCATCGCAACAATCAACTCTAGTGATCCTTTGACCGCTTCATTCCATGAGGCGGAGGATCCCCCGGTCACAGCTGCTTCCTTGAAGGCCGCCTTGGAAAAGCTCCAAAAGGCGCTTGAGGGTAAGATCCCTTCTTTTTCTAGAAACCAGTCCAAAAGAGAAGAAGAAGGTGTCTGAAAGAAACCCTAGGGCAAGATGGCCAACACTGAGGATGCTGGGAGCACCCCATTCAAACGACATGCAAGGTCACCAAGGGTGCCCCGGATGAACTGGTCCAGGCTCCTTGAGAAAACACAGTTGGCTGGGGGGTAGAACAAGCAGCCTTAGAGGCAGCCAAACGAGCCGTCCCAGCGTTGGAAATATGCTAGAGACTATCTTCGGCACAAGCGGCTGGGAGCAGGCACAATACTCGGACATTGCCTCCACTCCTACCGTGCCGGATGAATTCTCCAACCTTACTCTTAACTTGGAAACCATCGTCTAAGGAAAGAAAGAGGGGTTGCGCTTGTACGTCTAGAGGTTCAACTTGGAGAAAGCTCAAATTTAAAATCTACCGGATGAGATGGCCTACTCGGAGTTCCTTTGAGGTTCAAGGCATAATGGTTTCATGTTTGATCTGATCAGGAAAAAGACTCGGACATACGCAGGTATTCTGCGGGAGGCCGAATCATATATTGAGGCAGCTGATTTTAATTCCCTTACAAAATTAGAAGAGCCGGCCAAGGGGGCCGAGAAGAAACAATCTTCTCAGCAAGACTCGGCCAGCAAAAAGAAGGAAGGAAGCAACAAAAGAAAAGAAGTCTGGGAGGCCGACTGCTAACAGACGAAGTCAAAGAAAGCCAAGACGTACGAGCCTCAGTACGAGTACAAAAAAAATTGTTATTCAATTTTGATGGAAATTAAAGACAAGTTCGAGTTCGAGAAGCTTGAGCCTTTGAGAGGGCCGGCCTAGTACAGAAACAAGAACAAGTACTGTCATTACCACAAGGATGTGGGGCATGAGACGAACGACTGCAACAATTTGAAGAGGTTGCTGGATAAGCTCGAGAAGTGAATGCTCAACTCGTACGTCATAAAATCCAAGTTCACCTACTCTCGGATAAACAACAAATCCGAGAAGAAGAAAGAAAAAGAGAAAGAAACAGATGATGATGGAAATAGCACAGTCTCAGGGTTCGTGGCCGTCATATCAGGCGACTTTACTGTATGCGGCCCTACCATGAAGGGAATCAAGTAGGATGCTTGGAATTTTAAAAATATTATGCACACTGAAGGGGTAAAGGCCGAGCCCTTTCCACCCCTCACAATGACCCCATGGTGTTCATCTTGAAAGTTGCCAATTTGAAGGTCGGACGAGTGCTAATAGACACCTACAGCTCGTTCGCGATTATCATTCTAGCATGTTTGAAGAATCTGAAGTTCTCAAAGGATGCCCTAAAGGATATCTCTCACCCGTTGGTTGGGTTCGGTGGGAGTATTATTCCCCGGTTGGACGGATATACTTGTCTATCCGATTTGGGCAGAAGGGCGAAGGAAAGGACATGGTCTTCTGCTTCCTAGTTGTTAAGGAGCTCATTGGCTACAATGTTATCATTGGCCGCCCAACTTTGACATCAGCAAACGTAGTAATCGTCCCTCACTTGATGCTGATAAAGTTTGAGCGGTCAGATGGGAAGATAGGTTCCATTCAAGGAAATTAGAAGATTGCCAAAGAATGTAATCAGCTGGCCATGAAGCCAACAACATTCAAACATGTGACTGCGTCCGTGCAAAATCTCGAAGAAAGGTCACTCCAAACATACCAGGTTGGCAAGAAGCGCAAGTTGATTAAGAAAGAGCATGCAAAACAGCTAATGACCGTCGGCCAACCAGAAGAGCTGAGGCTACAACCGGCCGACGATCATACGGACATAGTGCTTGACCTAGACCAGCCTGATTGGACGGTCAAAGTGGGCACTATGACCATGGGCTTTCTTAGAGATGACTTGGTGAATCTGTTAAAAAATTCAGAGATGTGTTTGCATTTGAAGTTCATGAGATGCCAGGTATCAGCCTAGCTTAGCAGTTCTTAAGTTGGCTGTGAACTCGGCTGTAAAATCTGTTCGTCAGAATAAGAGGAATCATGGAGAAGAAAGGAATCAGGCGGTTGCACCTGAGGTTAAGAAGATGTTGGACGCCGGTTTGATTCGGCAATGTTACTACCCTGATTGGTTGGCCAATGTAGTTCTTGTCAAGAAGCCGAATGGGACTTGGAGGGTGTGTGTAGACAACACCAACCTCAACAAGGCATGCCTTAAGGATAGCTTTCCCTTGCCTAAAATAGATCGTCTAGTTAATTCAACATCCGGACATGCCCTGATGAGCTTTATGGACGCATACTCCGGATTCCACCAAACCCTTTGTGGGAGGAAGATCATGAAAAAACATAATTTATGACCAAGCAGGGGCTATTCGAAGAACGCCCCTTCTAGTTTCAGACACTTGTGAATACGATCTTCAGAGATCAGATCGGCTAGAACGTGGAGGCTTATATTGATGATATGATTGTTAAATCAAAAAGGCCGACCGACAATCTGAGTGACCTCTGAGAGACATTTACCGAACTTAGGTGACATAAGATGATGTTAAACCCAAAGAAGTGTGTCTTTGGTGTTGAGTCCGGCAAATATCTCGGATTTTTTATTAATCAACGCGGCATTGAGGCCAACCCTAAGAAGATCCAGGCGGTCTTAGACATGAAATAAAAGAAGTTCAAAGACTGACCGACTGCTTAGTCGCACTCGAACGATTTATGTCAAGATTAGGGGATAAGTGCCGCTATTTTTTCCAGACTATCAAGAAGAAAGAAATGTTTGAGTAGACAGAGGAGGTCGAGGAAGCCTTTGTACAGTTGAAGAATCACTTGCATACCCTTCCTCGGCTTGTCAGTCAACTCAAAGATGAGAAGTTGTATATGTATTTGGCTATTTCAGATCATCCTTGTGTATTTCATCAGCCTTGTTCTGCACAATGCCGAGCTTAGGTATCCACCTATTGAAAAGTTCGGCCTGACATTGTTCATGGCATCAAAGAAGTTATGGCCATACTTTCTTGCTTATACGATTGTGGTCTACACGGAACAACAGTTGAAAAAGTCGTTCACAACACTGGAGGCCAGTGTCCGAATGCTTAAATGGGCCTTAGAGTTGAGAGGATTTGATATCACATTCGAACCCAAAAAAACAATCAAGGGCCAATCCTTTACAAACTTCTTTGCCGAAATGACGCGGCCAGATTTACAGTTAGTAGGGGATCAGAAGTGTAACGGCGACCGGATGCGGCACTGGTATTATATATCTATCTCCAGAAGGAGACAAGTTTGAGTATGCTCTGAGATTTCAGGTCCAAGCCTCTAACAACGAGGCCGAGTATGAAGCCCTTCTGGTCGGCTGTAGGGCGGCTAGGGCAATAAAAATTGATGCGTGTTCGAACTCTCAGCTGATAGTCAGCCAAGTGAATGGTGACTACGAGGCTAGGGAGCCGACAATGATGAAGTATCTATAAATGGTGAAGGATGAGGCCGAAAGTCTAGAGCATTTCACGCTACAACAAGTCCCCCGATCCGAGAATCATCTGGCGAATTCCCTTTCCAAGCTAGCTTCCTCGGCATCATGTGATACTTCGGAAAAACGGAGCATTGATGCTCAGACCGTGCAAATTATTGATAGAAGCTCCACATGGATGGATGGAATAATCTCTTATCTCAAGGATGGAGTTCTTTCGGATGACCCAAAGGAGAGTTGGCTGATGAAGAAGAAGGCGACATGGTTTGAGATAAAGGGAGGGGACTTGTTCAAAAGATCATTTGTAAATCCCTATTTGAAATGTGTCACGCCTGAGAGGGGGCATGAAGTGCTGGACAACTTCCATGAGGGGCATTGTGGATCACACATACGCGAACGTGCCTTAGCAGAGAAGGTTACCCATTCTGGGGTACTTTTGGCCGAGCATGAATTCAGACGCCATGGAAATGGTGAAAAAATGTGACAAGTGCCAAAGATTTGCAACCCTTATTCACCGCCCGAAAACAACTTGTCGCCCATAAGTAGTCCACTTCCCTTTGCAAAATGGGGCATGGACATCTTGGGGTCGTATACTCCTGCATCCGGACAGAGGCGGTACGGGTTAGTAGCAGTCGACTACTTCACAAAGTGGGTAGAAGCCGAGGCCGTCTGAGGAATTAAATGGAGAGATGTATCTGCCTTCATCTGGAAGAATATAATCGCACGCTTTGGTGTGCCATAGTCAATGGTGTTCGATAATGGACCGCAATTTGAGACCAACTCAGGGATTATTGGCTGAGCGACCACGACATAACACATTGTTTTGCCTCGGTCGGACGCCCAAAGGAAAATGGCCAAGTTAAAGCATACAACAAATTTGATCTTCAATGGCATCAAGCAAAATCTTGAGAAAGCGGGCGGCCTATGGGATGATGAGTTGGTCAATTTGTTATGGTCCATTCAAACGACAACAAAGAGTAGTTCAACAGGGGAGACCCCATTCTTTCAGGTCTACGGCGCCGAGGCCGTGCTCCTAATTGAAATGTATGATCCTACTCTACGAGTGATGCTATATGATGAATCAGCTAATTGGGAGGCCATGAAGACTGCCCTAGACTTCCTTCCAGAAGCTAGGGGCAATGCGGTGCTTAGACACGAAATTTATCGTCTAAGGATGACAAGGGCATATAATCGCAAAGTGTTAAAGCAGTCGCTTAAGATTGGAGACTTGATTCTATGAAAAATGGAAGCAGTGGGTGATGAGTGACATTTATGTCACTCTTAGGGGTAGTATTTAGGTCTTTTTCCTCTTATTTTTCTTAGGTTTTTCCACCTCATTTATCCTCTTATGGCTTCTTTATGGGTTGATGAAAATTAATGCTTATTTGCGCTTATTTTGATAATCTTTATGCATTATTTTATCATCCCCATGCTCTCGTGAACTTTGGTATCTTCTGCAGGTTCCATGACGGTCCCTATGCACGGTGGGAGGCCCCTTGGCCAAGTATGGAAGCCATGGACAAAGGCAAGAGGAGCAAAAGGGAAGGAGAGGAAGCAAGAAAAGGAAGTGCAAGAGGAGGTGTGGCCGAACCTCTTAAAGGTCCGGTCGAACCTAGGTGTGGTCAAACTTTTGAAAAGTTTGACCGAACCTCCAGGGTGCAGTGAAGGCAGTGTCAAACCAGTTTTCAGCAATTTTGCAAGAGAGGTCGAACCTCAAAAGTTCGACCAACCAAGGATCAGGGAGGTTCGACCGAACCTACACAGGGTTCGACCGAACCTACCCTGAGTCCGACCGAACCTACCCAGAGTTCGGTCGGACCTTTTCCCGATCTCAGCCAATTTTGTACGGACTATTTAAGGTCCTTTTGAGATCGTTTTTGAAAAAAGAGAAGAAAGACAGTAGCCTAGTTTTCAGAAACTTCTCTTAGTTTGAAACATTCCTTAGGATTAATTTAGCTTAGTTTTCATCAAATCAAATCATTGTATTAGTGAAATTCAAGAATTATTCTCAAAGTTTGGCAATTTGTATTCAACATTTGAAGCTTCAATTAGTAATTTCTCCAACCTTCTTCCTTTTAATTTCAGATTTTATTTGGTATTTGCATGTTATTTAAATCTTCTTAGTTCTTGGTAATTTGTTATTGGATGATAGTTATTTCAATTGTTAACCACTTTTCCCCAATTATTGAAGTATTTAGAACCCTAATTCTTGATTGCATGTTGATAAACATGAGTTGTGAGTAGTCTTCTTGCTAGGGGTTGGGTGAAGCTCGACCTTTTGGGTTAACTATGCAAATGTGGGAGAAGCATTGATGTTTGTATTGCAATTAAATTGATTATATGAGATTGCTTGTTAGTTCCTCATGATAGGTTTAGCTACCCTTGGCTAAGGAGCTTGATAGTATGATATGCCTAATTTGACATGGAAGTGTAAATTGAGTACGTCATTACTTATTGTAATTTGATTATGTATCATCTATTGCTAAACTAATGAGGAATCTAAGTTTAGTAGTGTGAGTTGTTTTCTAATTGCATGAGGTTGATTTTACATATAGTCCTTGCTATATCTTGTCTATTTCACTCCCCGTTTGCCTATTTGCCTTGGTTGAGTGGATCTCATTCCCTAGTATCTTTAATTCATTGATTTAGAACCATAGTTTGTTTGTCTTCTTGACGAACCCCAATTCACCAATTGACTTCGAGTTAGCTTAAGTGTAAAGATCTTTGGCAATCATATCCCGTTCCTTGTGGACCAAACTCTTACTTGTCATTATGCTTGGTTTGTAAGGTGTTTGTTAATAAATGTGTTTGATTGAGTGTGGAATGTACGACCGTTGTAACGCCCATCAAAATGGCGCCGTTGCCGGGGATGGGTTAGAAAAATAAAAAAATAAAATAAAATAAAAAAATAAAAAAATAAAAAATTAAAAAAAAAAAAGAAAAAGAGCCGGTTCTAGGCCGTTTACTACTCCCCCAGCTAGGGAGACCAATTTCGAGGAGGGTCGAGATCAAATGGGTGACGCGGAACCACCACCTCAAAGACCTTTAAAGGAGTTGGGAACTCTGGGAGCTTATAGAGCTTCAAGCAGCATTGCTCCACCCGTTACTCAAGCCAATGACTTCGAGATTCGGCCCGCAATGATTAATTTGATTGAAAGGAGGCAATATAGTGGAGAAAAACATGAGAGCCCTCTTGCACACTTGAACGAGTTCGAAAAATATTGTAACACGATCAAGGTAAATGGGGTAACTCAAGAGTTTGTGAGACTAAAGTTGTTTCCTTTTTCTTTGATAGGAAGAGCTCTTGAATGGCTTGAGAAGGAGGTGAGGCCTAACTCCTTGAGAACTTGGGACGAGGTCACCACGGCTTTCTTAGGAAGATTCTATTCCCAGAAGAAGACGGCCGAGGCAAGAGCTTTGATCCAAGGTTTCCGTCAAAAAGCTAGTGAAACCATTTATGAAGCATGGGAACGATACAAGGAATATCAAAGGGAGTGCCCTCATCATGGCATTCCGTCATATCAAGTGCTTCAAATTTTCTATGGGGGCTTGAGCCCACAAGGAAAGACTAGCTTGGATGCAGGAGCGGGTGGCCCGATTATGAACAAGACGGAGGAGAAAGTCATAGAGATAATTGAGGATGTGGTGAGGCACCACATGGATTGGCAAGAAGGAGAGTGAGATTCTCTAAACAAGGGAGGAAATGCGGTTTACTCCGTTGATCACCTTAATGCCATCAACAATTTGACCTCCCAAATCGCCAACCTTGGAAAGGAGATGACGTCCATTAAGGCAAAACTAGAGACCTCTAGTTCAAAACAAGAGCATCCCTCCCAATCTAAGGGGAGAGGTATGAATTCTAACTCTTCTCCCTCTACTTCTAATAACATGCCTCATGGATGTTTGTTTTGTGAAAATTGTGGGTCTTATGACCATGATACCTCTTCTTGTAATTATGATTTCCAACCCCAACCCCAATACGAAGATGGTAATGAAAATGAAAATGAACAAGTCAATGCCTTGTCTTATGATAATAGACATAGGAATGACAATCAAAGATACTTACCACCAAATAGAAGAGAACAAGGGGGGAATTCCTATAACCAAAGAGGAAATGATTACGATTACCATAATCAAAATCAATGGGGAAGTAGGAACCAAAGGGACCAAAATCCCCAAGGTAACTACAACCAACAAGGTGGTTATGGTAACCATAATCATAATAATCAAGGAAACTATGGGAATCAAGGGCGATTTCACCAAGGGGGAAACTCTAATAATCGGAACAATTGGAACAACAATAATAATAGAGGTTCTTCTAATCAAAATACGTCCAATTCGAATGTTAGAGGTAATAGGGCTTCCCAAGACAACCACTATGCACAAGCACCACATAGTAGGTCTAGCTTGGAGGAAATGATGGAAAATCAAACTAAAATGTTCAATTCTTTCATGGCCTCAAGTGAAAAGAAATTTAGTGAAGTGATGACCCATAATAAAATGCTAGAGACACAAATTTCACAATTGGCCAATGCTTTGAAGGAAGGGATTAACACTTCTAAACTACCACCCCAAGGACTAGATCCTAAGAGGCCTGTAAATGTTATATCAACAAGGAGTGGTAAAGTTTTGGAAGAAAGTGTTCCTAAAAAAAGCAATGAGAGAATGAACATGAGTGAGCCTCCCTTTAAAAGTGATTTTGAACAAAAGAGAGAGCAAAACCATGAGAATGAAAAGGAGAAAGAATGTGAGAAAGAAAAAGAATTTGAGAAAGAGAAAGATTTTGAAAAAGAGAGTGAAGAGAGAAGAGAAAAAGAGAGAGAAACAAAACAATTGCAAAAACTACCATATCCTCACAAATTTGTTAGAAACAAATTAGATGTGCAATTTGGAAAATTTCTTGAGACATTGAAACAAATTCACCTTTCAATTCCTTTTACCGATGCTATCAAGCAAATGCCTAACTATGCTAGGTTTTTGAAAGATATTTTGAGTGGAAGGAGAAAGTGTGAATTGGTTGAAACGGTGAGTCTCACCGAGAATTGTAGTGAAATTATCATGAACAAGATGCCACCCAAATTAAAAGACCCCGGTAACTTTTCTATCCCATGTGCAATATACAAGATGCAAATTGATAATGCTTTGTGTGACCTAGGGGCTATTGTTAGCCTAATGCCATACTCGGTATACCAAAGACTTGGGATAGGGGAACTTCTACCCACCAACATCACCCTACAATTGGCCGATCGCTCTATTAAATTCCCAAAGGGTAAGGTAGAGGATGTTCCTCTAAGGGTGGGGAAGTTTGTAATCCCGGTGGATTTTGTTGTGTTAGAGATGGATGAAGATGTTAACATTCCAATAATTCTAGGAAGACCTTTTCTTGCTACTTCGGGTGCTTTAATAGATGTTCAAAGTGCTAAAATTTCACTAAAAGTAGGAGATGAGGTGATAGAATTTGATTTGAATGAGAGCATGAAATATCCAAGCTCTAGTCTTGATAATTGCATGATGATTGATACTATTGATTCTATTGTAACTTCTATGCATGAGCAGTTGCTCACTACTAACGATGCCCTTGAGAATGTCCTTTTGAACAAGGAAAAGATAGGTGACCAAAGCAAAGAGATGGCATTGTATGAAGAGATGCTTGAAGGAAGTACGGAATAAAGCAATGAGCAAGTGTGCATGGGAATCACAACACATGATGCATTAGAAGTAGCTACCTCAAGAGAAGGTAAGGGTGTTCCAATGGTAGAGTTGAAACCTCTACCATCACACCTAAGGTATGAGTTTTTGGGCCCCAATTCAACTTTTCCGGTTATTATGAATTCTTCTTTGAACGAGTGCCAAACTCAAATGTTATGTGGTGTTTTGAGAGATCACCAAGGTGCTTTAGGCTATACCATAGATAACCTCAAAGGTATTAGCCCCGCTTTATGTATGCACCACATAACACTTGAGGAGGGTGCTAAGCCTTCCATTGAGAGGCAAAGGAAACTCAATCCTCAAATGGGGGAGGTGGTGAAGAAAGAAATCACCAAAATCCTTGATGCCGGCATCATCTTCCAAATTTCGAGTTCTAGATGGGTTTCCCCCGTTCATGTGGTCCCTAAAAAGGGAGGAATGACCGTAGTTGAAAATGAGAATGGTAATCTCATTTCAACTAGAACGGTGACTGGTTGGAGGATGTGCATAGACTATAGACGTCTAAATGCATCCACCAACAAGGATCATTTT